CCCCAAAACCCCAAAACCCCAAAACCCCAAAACCCCAAAACCCCTAATTTTTATCCTAAATTGAATGAAAATAATTATTCTAACAGATCTGCAAACTCCACCATAGCGTCTCTAAAAACCTCTTCGTACTTATTCTCAACCTGTTCTACATAAGTAAGAGTTTGCTTTTGAATTTGATGTTGAGCTTCCAAATCCTTGGCTCTTGTCTTCGATCTCTTCTCAAAACTTTTGAGATGGCTCTCCTGCATTTTCATTTCAATGATATTTGTCACCTTCGTGATGTTGTCTAAATTAGAAGACTTATTTGTAATTATTTGTCCGAATGAGGATTTCGCATTCTTTATGTCTATCAGGTCTTCAAATAGGTCAGAATGGTTACTCAGAAGCTCAATCAGAGCTTGATCAGAGATGAACACACTATCGATTGATTCGTAGATTTGGTGAATTTCAATCTCTTCCTCTGGGATATCCTGTATAATAGTGCTTTCGTTGACTCCGTCGAAATTAATGTACTCGGTAAAAAGAGAAAATAGTTTAGGAATTTTCTTAAATCACGGCTTTATATACTTGTTCTTAATATCACGTTGTTCGCAGATTTTTCTCAATGTCTTTAAAGCAACCAGCTGCAACTCACGATTGTCACTCAGGAGGATGTATTTGAGAACCATCACGGGTAGTTGCTCGACCTTAAAATAACAAGTTTTGCTTAATTTTTCAAAATCAACCACTTGAAAAGTCTCCATTACCTTGTTATTTGTACTGCATAATGCTTTAAATAAGTTCAATCTCAAACTTGTGGATCAGATCCTTAAAATCCAGATAAAGTGGCCTATAGAGCTTGATTGCTAGCACTAAAATCTTTGGTCAAAATGCCATAATTTCATGAATATTTACCAAAATCACCGATAAATTATTTGAAAATATTCACATTTGTAGTAGGGAACTCCAATAAATGTTCCAGGATATCCTCAAGTATTTCAGACTGGATATAATCTACTGATTCAGGAATGGAGTGGCAAAGAGCATGGTACAGTTTACTTCCCTTCCCACTTTGCTGCAGATCAGTCAAACAAAGATTTACTATAAATTTTTTAGACATTATGGGTTCAATAAAAACTATTAAAATTGGGGTTTTGGGGTTTTGGGGTTTTGGGGTTTTGGGG